AGTAAAAAATGTTTAAGATATACTTTTCAGAAAACATAATGCAAATAAAACTCCATTTTGTTCAAGCTGTCTGCACTCATGTTTTAACTCTGAGCATTGCTGCCTGAAAGGGCTCGGGAGTTCAGTTACCAGGGAAAGAAAGTAACCAGTACCAAGGCAAACTTCAGAGCCTGGAATTGAACTACAGTATTCAAAAACTACAATTTCCAGTCTTTATATCCAGTGAGTTAGTCTGTTAATGCAAGTGGTCAAGACCCATCCATGATTCATAGAATAGTTTAGGTTGGAATAGACCTTTAAGATCATTAAGTCCAACTGTTAACCTAGAACTGCCAATTCCACTGCTAAACTATGTCCCCAGGTGCCATGTCCATATGTCTTTTAAATACCTCCAGGGATGGTGACTAAAATACTTCCCTGGACAGCCTGTTTCAATGCTTGAAAACCCTTTCTGTGAAGAAATTGTTCTTACTATACAAAGTAAACCTCCCCTGGTGCAACTAGAGGCCATTTTCTCTTGTCCTGTTCCTTGTTACCTGGGAGAAGAGGCCGACACCCTCCTACAACCTCCTTGCAGGTAGTTGAAGAGAGTGATAAGGTCTCCCCTTCAGCCTCCTTTGCTCCAGACTAAAGATCCCCAGCTCCCTCAGCCACTCCTCATCAGACTTGTGCTCCAGATTTTTCATCAGCTTCACTGTCCTTCTTTGGACATACTCCAGCACCTCAGTTCCATACAGGAGTTGCATTCTAGGCCAACTCCGTAATGAAAAACCTTATTCTTATGCATGATAGTGAAATTGTTTTGTTTGTAAGCCCAGATAACTATATCAAACCACACAGTAACAAATCATTTAAGTAGAAAACTCAGCAATGCATATCTATAACCCTTATATATGTGTATTTTGACAATGGCCTCAATAGCACATGCCATCTAGCTGTATGATGCAAAGTCTCTCTCCTTTATTACATTTGTTTCAAAAATACATATACTTTAATAATGGTTATAAATTTTAGAGGAAAAATAGAACATGGTATGAATTTATGAAAACACTGACTGATAATGAAAAGTGAGGCTGAAAAATTGCTAATTAAGTTCTGCTCATTTTCATCTCTTGATGAAGTTCCCTGAATTACACTTGTGTCTGCTGAAAGTTACAGTGGTGAAGTTCATGAGATTTATATGACTAGTCAAGATTTTCTTTGTACTGTAAAACATCATATACAAGACCGCTTCATAGAGGATTTCTCAATGTCAAAGGCAACTGTTTGTAAGAGCTTGGATTGCTCTGTCAAGGTCAAGAAATAGTTTCTATTTGAATACTTGCTTTTTTCTGGAAGGGAGTTAATTTAATTTTCCTTATTCTTGTTTTCCCACACCTTTCCAGGAATGACAAATTCAGTATCAATCAAAAAGCAGTAGACTGTGAGACTCTCTTAATCCATGTCAAAGGCAAGTAAGAAAAGCAAGTTTAGCAGTCTGATGTTTCTTATTATTGTACAGAAGTTTGTTTTTTTTTTCCATCCTCCAGAAATGTCCATAAAACTTCCAGCATTTTACCAAAACAAAAAAAAATATTATTGACAAGAAGTTCTGAAACTATTCCTGCCTTCCAAAAGTTCACATAAATATGCCTGAAATTTCCAAAGCTGCTTAAAATCTACCATTAGAAGGGTGACTGTTCAGTAAGTGTCCAGGATGTTTAGGCCAGCTGTAAGTCTAACAACCACTGCTTATTTTCTGGCTACACTTCTAAGTTTTATTACTAATGTAGCCCGTGCCTCATTTCCTATTCCCAGGCACAGAGCACGGATGTGGCTGGAATCCAGGCTTCAAAAAGAGTTTGTGTGCTTTCGGTTCTGCCAAGTCCATTCATTTAACGATTT